TCTGTCTTTGTACTATAATGCTTTCCGGACTCATATACTTTCCTGACCAACCATCCCCAGACGTTTTCAAGTATGGTCACCACTGCTTGAGATCAATTTTTATGCCCTGAATCCTGGACTTCGCGGATCGGACGCTCTGAATTGGAGCATTATATCATGCAGGAAAATTTATTGCCGGTTTTCAGACAGGCAACCGTTCCAAATAATGTTCTTCTATGACGACGACATGTTCTCCCGGACAACATTAATGCACATTTCTTTTCTCAGCATATCGACTGGTGTCTTTTTCTTAAAATTATGTCTTGCGAATTCGGAAACATCGATAGTTGGCGATAGTATCGTCGATAGTCCCCAATATGAAACAACTGTAACTCGGCCTATTCGATGTTTTAAGCAATTAGAACTCTTTAAAATTCGGTTAATTTTAAATAACATAAATTAGTTATTTTACTAAATTTAATGATGTAAAAATTGTGGAATAGAAAATGATAAAAAAGGTATTGTGGTTATTGGGCTTTTGATTATACCTTTCCACACGTCAAACATTTTTTAAAATATTTCCATACATCCTACATTTTAATTTTAATATTCTCTTTGCCTTTTCATACGTAAAATTCTTGTTCAAATCTGATGTGCTATAATCAAAGGTTCCCTTAGAATTGCGGCGTTTAAAATTCATTATATAAATTTTTTAATAAATAGAATTGAAATTGCTTCAACAGTGCGTGGTTAATTAACTTTTTGGAGAAACCCATCCATTTTATTTTTATACCCTGAACCCATATTCAACGGGAAATCAGGGTATAGTGGTTTTGTTGAAATGTATGTAACAGGCAGAAGGAGGCGTGGCAGACCCCACAAAGCATATATATTCTTGATCAGGCCGACGAGCTGAGTTGATTTGGCCCTGTCCGTATGTTTGAACGCGTCGATCTCAGAAGATATAAGAGGTAGAGACTTGAAATTTTTTTCCTAGGTCCGTGTATATCACGCGCATATCGAGTCTCTAAATATCGATAACTACTCCCGATATTTTTTATCGAATTAAATCCTTATCGAAAGCTAGTTTTTTAATTATAACTCCTACACCTTTAGAGCTAGCTTCCAAATTTTATATGTAGACTTATATGTATTTTATATAATTTCGATTTTTGCTGAAAGTTACGCCCCACCCACACCTTTGTAAAGGGCGTATTTCAAATACTAGAGACTTTTGCTTTGACAAATGCATGCATATCTATGTTATAATCATAATCTAAAAGTTTCATGATAGAAGTACATCCACTAGAAAAGTTATTAAACAATTCATTTCTCATAGTAAGCGCACACTGCAGCTCATGCGGTTTTGTGCTTGGCTGTTTGTGTGTATGTGTGTGCGTGTTTCTTGTGTAAGCAGAACGACGCGAAAAATGATTGAAATAACTATTGCTCGAAGGGTTCAGGGGATCTCGTAGTCGAGCAGTCTCTTATAATCTTTGCTTAACTTATTAGTTCCTACTAAAGGTGTCAAACTATCGGTGGCACTATCGTCACTATTGATGGTCGGACACCATCGAGCGACTGAACTATTGATGGTTCAATGTCTCGATAGTGGACGATAATATCGTCAAAGGTGCGTGATTAATAATTATAATTTTTCTTAATTTTGTATCATAGCTAGTATCATAGCAAATGATGGTTGATCGTTTTTTCGAATATGCTCTTCTTCATAACATAACCGAAAAGATTGGGCAGACACAATCTCGCTATGAGCGGCTCTCTTTGTCTTGTTTTGATTCGGTTTTTTCAAGTGCTTCGCATTGACTCATTGGTGTGACGATCTCAAATGAGTGTCGCGTAAAGAGTAATACGATTTTCGCTTACACAAAGGCTCTCAGCAAAAGACAGTTTGACTAAAACACTCAACAAAAATGATCTTCGTGTGCATGCAAATACATACATACATACAGTAGAGGGCAAAATTATTTTGACAACGCATTGCAAAAACTCTAACCTCTTATTTCTTATTTCAATTCATTTAACTCAAGCAAACGATCAGTGCTTGATTTGAGCGAAACGAACACTGAAATAACTGTCTCGCTCAGTTTCTGTCTGAGTCTTTTTTATTGTGTTAGTGAAAGACGCTTATTTACAGACAAAAAAAAATCAATCACTACAATAAAAACTTAATATAACTTAATAGTTTTTAGGCTTTAGCTTTATATCTTAAAATGTAATTTCACAAAATTGAAGTGTTCAAATTTTTAAGGCTAAGAATCACTTTTTTTTGCGAATATCGACCACAATCGATGGTACTATCGACCGCTATCGATAGTTTGGAAATTACTATCGTTCACAATCGTTGGCCCACCATCGATAGTTGGCATCTCTACTTCCTACTTGACAAACTCATTGGTATTCCTTGTCTTCCAGGCAATTTGAATATCGCTCAGTATTACAAAATTATTAATTTTATTATTTGTGATTGTTTTATAATAGTTAAGTGTATGGTGTAAAACGCTACCGGTCCCAGTTTTTCTGGCGTTGCGCGCTCTATGTACCGCTATCGGTTTCTGTTGCTCTAGTCGTCTCGGCATAGCTAGTTGCGCTGGACTTGGCTGGTGCAGGTCTTCACACAGGCTTTAGTCATAGTTTACTGCCGCTGTTCCATACAATGTTGCGGAGGCAGTCTGCCTCTGCGTCAGTCATAGCTGGTTGAATAATTATGCTGCTTCGACAGTCTGATTGAGGAGCTGCGGTGCATGGCTAGGTAGAACAGTCACAGAGGGCACGTTGTTGGCCCATCTTGTTAGTTGAAGTTGTTATAGCTCCTTTGAATCTTTTTTGTTTTTTATGTTTTCACATTTATCAAATTGATTCCGCACACTGATGGTAATTAGATTGACGTAAGGACTTCAATCTTGTTGATCCCTTTCACGGTCGCCATGTAAAATGTTGAAACGAGTGGAATTCTTTATACAGAAAAATGTCTTAAACTTTAATAATATTGGCTTAAGCTTAAGCCGCGCTCTTGCGCTGACGATGACGCCGACAGCGGAGCGGCTGCTATATATATTTCCTATATAGTATTACATTTACACTGCGCGTCACGTTAACGATTGAAATCAAAATGAATATTGGAAAGAAAGGTATGTTATTTTATTTTACGTGTTTAAAAACGTGTTTAAAATCATTATATTTACTAATAAATCGTTTGTTTTGTCAGTGTCTCCATATGTGTTTTGTCGTCTATATTAATGATTTTCAGGTAAAGTTTTAATTGTGATCCCCCTTCACCCCCTCTAGCGACTTTTTTTGTGGTATTTATTGATTTTTTAAGATTATAAAACTTTTAAATTTAGCTGCCAGAATCTGCCAGGCTTCGTGGTAAAATTCGCAGAACATAGCCTCAAATTTAGAATTTTTTAAGGTTATGTGAATGCTTTGTTGTTTTGATTGTGCTGTTGAGTTATAAATGTTTGTAGATATGTGCCGTACTGTCCATTTTGTATTATTTTAACGATGTTTTAATTTGAATCGGATTGTTTTATTTAAATTTTTGCGCTAGGCACTTCTGTTCATTGCGAATTTATAACAGGTCAAAGACAGCTCCCCAAGAGAGATAAGTCGATTTTATTACCATCTGTGCATGAATTATTAGACAATTCATTTTAATTTGATGTTATTATTATTTATTTTGTATTATCCAATTGTTATTATTTTTTAAGTATATATTTTTAATTTGTAATCATTAAAATATTTAATAAACTGATACCAGCATTTTTTTTATATATTTATTTTTTTATATTATTATTATTATTATTTTTTTTTTTTTTGCTGGGAATCAACGCCAGATATAAACATTATTTTATATTAACATTGGTGCAAAATTTCAGCCCTCTATCTCTGTAAAAAGTAATTATGGCCACTGCTTCATACAAGCGGAACCAGTGTGCACAGGGGGCCTGACAAACCGCAAAAGTTGATATCTCCTAAAGTATAATAGCTAGAGCCTCAAATTTGGATAGTTAAGTTACGAATAACCTCCTCTATCGCGAGGAGTTCTATTCTTCTTTATTTTCGCAAAGAGTGCGTGCACTCATTTTTCGTCATCAGATTAGCGCCCCAAATGCAATTGTAATTGTCTTGCTTATTTTGTCAATTACACTCGCCAGTTTTATCTTGGGTTGAAAATCAAAGATTGAAGCATACTTTGGATCTGGACTATGCTACCATAAAATTAGTAAAAAGATAGGAAAAAACAGAAAACCAATTGTCAATTTTCTTACAAATAAGGAATACTATGGAAATAACTATAAAAGCAGCAAAAATCAACTGATTTTACTACGCAAATTTAAGTGTTCAAACTAGGCTGAAAAAACCAAGTCGATTTTTCGATTATTCTCGATAAAAAAGTTATCGGATGAGTTATCGAAAAAATAATGCAAACTCGTACGGCCTATGGTATACAGGAGTATGTATGCATGCCAAATTTGAGCTCTCTAGTGTCGACAGACAGACATGTATACTCGTATACTCGTGTCGACAGACAGACATGTCTGTCCGTCTGTTCGTCCGTCCATTCCATTTAATTTTTTAGTTGTTTGAAAATATTTTTATATTTTATTAAGTGAGTTTTGTATTTCATTTATATTTTTAAATTGAAATTTTAGCCATACTAAATGGGCATTTTTATTAGTTGGGTTCAGGTAGAGCATTCTCGACAAGAGTTTTCTTACTTGTTATATTTCAAACCGAATAGCGATTACTCTGCGGCCATCAAAAGTTTTTAGTATGTTGGATGAATATTGGTTGCCAGCGAGAGGAAGGACGTTGATACCGACTATTCTCGTTAAAAAATAAATGGGAAGAATACATGTAAAATGTCTCTAGCTCTTATATCTTTAGAGAGATATCTTGGCGTTTATACGGACAACAACGTTAAATTTTTATAGTTTTATAGTGAAAGACTTTAACATTGAAAATTTAATTAAATTATTTATTTATTACTTTTGTTTCAGAAAAAATGGCGACTACTTCAAACAATAGTGTTGCTGACATGACAACAATAAGCGAAATAGACGAAGATGGAATAAACTATAATTTAAGACTTCGATATTCTAATGATATAATATATGTATCCTTTTAAAACTAATTAATTGCATTCCATTATTATTACCTTACAGATCTAAAAGTAATTTTCTATTGATGGAATTCAAAAAGACGAAGTTCATAATCAACTTTAAATAATTCGATTTATGCCTTAGTGAAATCTACAATATGAAATGTCTATTCTATTAAAACAATAAAATTTTAGAACATTGACAATCTTTATTTCATAATCTAATTATTTTATATATACATGAAATATATAAACGAAGCCACATAGAAAATACTCTGATACGCCCATTTACATAGTATATAGTACATTTGTACAGTCTGAACCCATTCGAATGGCGAGGAGCTGAGTCGTTTATATCCTGTTCGTCTATGTGTGCGGCCGTCTGTTTCTCGATAACCATTACCGTTTTTAGCGCTTAAAATGACTATCGAAATACAATTATAAAGTTATACATCCTACAGTTTTAGAGCTAGACTCACTAACTTTTTGCATATACATTTTGGTGTATTTTTTTATAATTTTTTTATTATATGTAGATCGCATCCTTTTTCATTCAATTTTATTAAATACATCAACTTGCAAGTAGCGTTGATCATCGCACAACCATGTTCCCTATACGTATATTTGCAAGATGACTGTTTAGCTGTAAAGTCGCTGCAGTTTTTCTACTATGTCTATGCGAAATGGAGTGACGCTGTTGAATCTATATTCGTTTTGCCACACCTATAATGATCGTGAATTTCGGACAATCATTAAAGATTATCAAGAAATTATAGAAAATTTAGTTTTTCCAAGCTTAGAAAAAAAAATATAGTAGGTAATTTTCTTTGTTTAAATACAATTATTTAGAAGTTTATCAAAAAATGCTAAGTTTTATAAATATTAACTGCTGGGTTTTGAGTTTTGAGACTTGGTACAATCAGATTATTTTCCTTCGTGACTGTTGAGCTACGAAAAAAAGATTACGGATTTTTATTGATAATTATAAATTTATAAGTATTCAGTATAAATTATAAGTATTTATTTTAGGTTTTTTTAATAATATGGTAAAATTAATCATTAGCCTAAAATAAAATTTTACTATTATTTAAATTTATTATTTATATATAATATATTTTTTAAATTTTTAAAAAAGAATTAGTTAATTACTTAGACCATTGGTTACTCTTAACATATAAGCTTAGACATACTCTGGAACGATATTAATCGCTGTAAATCCATACAAATGTATTAATATTTTTAATAAGGTACGTATTTCTGTTTAGATTAATTAATAATAATAATAAATATGTTGTTTTTATTTTAAAAATCGTTTTCTATATGGGTATTTTTTCTAACTGAATAATACTACATAGTAAAACATCACCGGTCTTTTTCTATTCAAGGCAGTTTATTTATGTTTTATATTGGACTACCACAGGCAGGTAGCGTTTCACACAAAATTTAGCAAATAACTATTTTATGGTTTCGTACTCCTTTCGTTCGGCAAGTTCTTCACTCAAAACGGAAGATGTAGGGTCGGCTTCGGAAGTGATTATTAAAAAATGGTGATGGAAAAATATATTTTTCACTTATACCCACAGGTCCGTGTATTGCGCACGCAGATCGGGTTTCTTTTTATTAGATCAATTAGACAAATACTTCCACATTTTTCTTATCGTTTAAATATTAGTTATATAAGGTAGATTCAAGTCTATGTTATAGAATTAAAATTATTGTTATGGTCAATCTCCGCGCCTCCCTTGAAAATTTGCAAATACGTATTTCAACTACTAGAGACTTTTGTTTTGAAAAATGCACGCGTTATATTGTTATTATTAAGCTGAAGTGGAGAAGAGTTCGGGGGATATATAGCTTATATTCGAGCAATATAGACTAGAACTGTTGCTAAGCAGTTAAGCATATCTCCACTAAAGCACTAGCGAACCTCTATTCCGCGAAGACAACTATATGAAATAATATTCTTTATTGAATAAATTAGTAAAAATTAGGTATAAAGTCTCGGGATCGAACTGAACCATATAGCCCTGTCCGTTTGTGTTCTTTGCTTAAATGTCATGTTTATTTGAAAGTAAATTAAACCCGGTATATTTATTTTATTTCACTGCTTAAATCCTAAACCTAAAGATTACTTAACTAATTATTTTGATCAAACATTTTTATTAAGGATTATGTTCAGCAATACCACATGGCCAAAATGGGGTCATTAGATCCCCATGTTTTTGCATTAGCTGAAGCTGCCTATAGAAGCATTGTTGAAGAAAAAATTAATCAGGTAACTAGTGTTTATTATATATGTATTACTTATTTATTATTATTTTAAAAACTTGCCAAGCCACAATATTTATTGTACCCATTGAAAATGGGAAATCAGGGTATAATGGTTTTGTTAAATGCAGAAGGAGACGTGGCAGACCCCATAAAGTATATACAGTGGCGAGCACGTATGGATACATGTTGGCCAAGTCGACATTAAAATGCCTGTAAAAACATAAAAATTTCAGGAATCTGTCTGAAATTTTGGAATTAGATTAATTTGATATATTTAAGTAAGATGGTAAAACCATTTGTTTCGCTTTTTATACCCTGAACCCATTGAAAATGGGAAATCAGGGTATAATCATTTTGTGAAAAGTATGTAACAGGCAAAAGGAATCATCGCAGACCCCATAAAGTATATATATTCTTGATCAGGACGACGAGCTGAGTCGATATAGCCCTGTCCGTCCGTCCGTCCGACCGTCCGTCCGTCCGTATGAGCAAAAGGATCTCAGAAGATATAAGAGCTAGAGAGCTGAAATTTGGCATGCATACTCGTGTATACCATAGGCAGTACGAGTTTGCATTATTTTTTCGATAACTCATCCGATAACTTTTTTTATCGAGAATAATCGAAAAATCGACTTGGTTTTTTCAGCCTAGTTTGAACACTTTTAAACCTGGAGACTTCAAATTTGCATTGTATGTAGAGTTAATGGACACAAAGATTTTGTAATTTACAGATTTTGGATACCACGCTCCCCCTTCGCCCCCAATTTCTAAAAAACGTATTTCAAGTACTAGAGACTTGTGCTTTGGAATGTACACACATTTTAACCATATGATTACGCTCTGAGTTTCATTAACATTGTATATCTGCAAAAGATATTATTCAACGAATAAATTCTCAAAATATTGCCCACATTGCAGCGCAGCCCAAGCGCAGCCGCTGCTTACTGCGCAGTTAGCAGAGCGCGTGCTTATAAGTGCATGTGTATGCATGTGTGCATAGAAGAAGTGCAGAATGATTAGAATATCAGCTTGGAGGGTTCAGGGTATCTCCTAGTCGAGCAGTCTCGACTGGAGCCTTCTTACTTGTTGATTCTAAATTCAAGTTTTTCAGATGGATATATAAAAAGAGCTATGTATCCACTTCTGCATAGTGGAGTGTGCCTGATGGTATGAGGCTGTTTCACATGGTGGAACCTCTACCCGCTGGTTGAGATCGATGGACTTATGATTAAGGAAGACTGTCTGAATATTATGAAGGTCTACCTTCCAGACTTTGTGGATAATAGTGCGTCTCCCGAGGAAGAAGTCGTGTTTCAGCAGGACAATGAACCCCAGTATAAAGCGAAAATCGTCTAGAATTAACTCGATTACCAAAAATTTTTGATAATGAAGTGGCCTACTCAAAGTCCAGACCAAAACCCCATGAAAATTTCTGGGCATTAGTTAAAGAAAAGCTCTCAATGTAAGCTACACCGACTGCGATGAAGGGGTTTTAGTCTCGGATCCAGGCGAAGTTGAGCGCCTCTTTTGGAAAAGTGGTGGAGAGTATGCCTAAGCGCATTGCTAGTGTGATCACAGCTAAAGATCTTTGGACAAAATATTAAAAATAGTAAATATTTAAAAAAAATTTTAAAACGAGCAAAAGTGGATACATAGCTCTTTTTATGTATCCATCTGAAAAACTTGAATTTAAAATCAAAAAGCGAAACAAATGATTTTACCATCTTACTTAAATATATCAAATTAATCTGATTCCAAAATTTCAGAGATTCATGAAATTTTTATGTTTTTACAGGCATTTTAACGTCGACTTGGCCAACATGTATCTATACGTGCTCGCCACTGTATATTCTTGACCAGGGCGACAAGCTAAGTCGATTTTGCTCTGTCCGTCTGTCCGTATGTTTGAACGCGTCGATCTCAGAAGATACAAGAGCTAGAGACTTGAAATTTTTTTCCTAGGTCCGTGTATAGCACGCGCATATCGATAAATTGCTCCGTTATTTTGTTATCGATTAAAAACATTATCGAAAACCAGTAATAAATTTATATCTCCTACATCTTTAAAGCTAGAGTCTCCAAATTTTATATGTTATTGTCATATTGTTTTGTTATATTGATAATCTGAAAGTTTCATGAAGATAGTCCATCCACATAAAATTTATTAAACAATTAAGTTCCCATAGTAAGCCAACACTGCAGCCAATGCGTGTTTAGGCGTGGGTGCTTGTGTGCGTGTATGTATATGTGTATGTGTGTGTATGCGTGTGTGTGTAATAGAGGTCTGCATGAATGTATTCATTTCCAAAAACATAGTACTGTACAGTAGTAAAATGTTCTCAAAAATACTGTACTCATTCCTTGCTGTACAGTATATTCAATTATCAAAAAAATTATGTAAAACTTTTATACTGTTCACACTTACAGTGACTGACAGTAAAAGCTGTACTCTTTTTAAATGAGTACAATTTTTTTCTCTTTCCCATAGTAAATGTGATTGAGAACAACTGTAAAGATATTTTGAACTGCTCTGCTAAGCCTACTAATGAAAATGATGCAAACGCAATAATATTGCAGCAGAGCGCGTGATTTACATGCGTGTGGATGCATGTGTATGCATGTGTGCATAAAGTAAGTGCAGAATGAGTAGAATATCAGCTTGGAGGGTATCTCGTAGTCGAGCAGTTTCGACTGGAGCCTTCTTACTTGTTTGAAATAAATTTGTAATAATTAAAATATTGGCCATCTTTTTCTTGCATATAACATTCTAAATTTTTGTACGCCCTTCTTCATTAAAATAAATATAATAAAAATAATAATAAATTACTGTACAGTAAGTTTACTGCGCTCTAAAGCAGTGTACAGTGAAAGCACTGTACAATATTTTTTACTGTACTCATTTAGTACTGTACAGCATGAAATTGAGTAAGTACATCAACTGTCAACATACAATGTTGTACAATATTAACTGGTACTCATTTAATTCTGTACAGAAAAAAAAGTGTGCTCATTTAAAAATGAATGATTCAATAGGCCTTTTGAATGCATCCATGCAGATGTCTAGTGTGTAAGCAGAGACACCAAAAATGATTGAAACAGCTATTGCTCGAAGGGTTCAGGGGATCTCGTAGTCGAGCAGTCTCGATTAGAGCTTTCTTACTTGTTTTTTTTTTTTTTGACGTTTTAATCATAACAAGTAAAAAAGCTCTAGTTCAGACTGCTCTGCTACGAGATCCTTCGAACAATTCATATTTCACCTGAATTGGCAGAAGTGTAAACTTAATTGTTTAATAACTTTTTTTTTTGTAAATGGACTATCTGCATGAAACTTTAAGATCGTGATTATAACATTGAATTGCAAATTTAATGGTTAGAGTGTGGATATATGGGTGGGAGGGTAAATTATAATATCAATCGAAATTATATAAAATAATTATGAACCTACATTTAAAATTTGACGACTCTAGCTCTAATGGTGTAGGAGATATAATTATATAAATAATTTCTGATAAGAGCTTTAATCGATAACAAAATAACGGGAGAAGTTATCGATTTTTGAAAAAAATCTCGATATGAGCGTGATATACATGGACTTGAAAAAAACTTATATGCCTCTTATATCTTCCGAGACGGACATACGGATAGGGTTGTATCGACTCAACTCGTCGCGCTAATCAGGAATATATATTTTATGGGGTCTGCGAGGCTTCCTTTTGCCTGTTAAAGTATATATATCCTTGATCAGGGTGACGAGCTGAGTCGATTTAGTCCTAGCTGTCCGATTTTTCTTCTGTCTGTTCGAAGGCCAATATCTCAGAAGATATAGGATCTAGAGACTAGTCATGTATACCATACACATTGCAAGTTTATCTTATTTTATGATTATAATATCAGCTTCGAGGGCTCAGAGTACCTCCTAGTCGAGCAGTTTCGAGTAGAACACTTACTTGTTCAACCTAATTTGAGCACTATTAGACATGGAGATTTCAGATTTTATGTGCATTTTATTTACATTTGATAAATACACAGATTTTGGATACCTCACCCGTTTTAACTGCAATTTGTGGAAAACGTATTTTAAATACTAGAGACTTGTTCCTTGGAATATACACACATTATGATCACGTGATGAAATTTTCATGAACATATCCCACCGCCAAGAGAAATTATTCAACAAATAGATTATAATAATATTTTCCACATTGCAGCCCGAGCGCAGTCGCTGATTACTGCACAGTTAGCAAAGCGCGTTCTAATAGGTGCGTATAGATATAGATGGAGTGCAAAATGATTGGAATATCATTTCTTTGCAGAGTTCAGAGTATCTTCTTGTCGAGCAGTTTTTTATTTGTCCAGTTTCACAAATAAATAGATATTTGAGTTGTTTGTTTTAATGTTATAATGCTTTAAACAAGAAATAAATTTATGTAAAGTTTTTTTTTAATGTTAATTAGTCATGCCTTATTTCTGGAGAATCTGGAGCTGGAAAGACAGAGTCAACAAAATTTGTTTTACAATACTTGTGTGCCATCACATCTAATGTTTCGTCTTGGATTCAACAACAAATATTAGAAGCGAATACCATATTGGAAGCATTCGGTAAATAAAATTATTCTAGTTGTTTAATTTAATAGAAATAAAAGCATAACAGAAAAGACGAGCTTCGTTAAATTAAAAAATTTTACCTATTATTATTCCCTAAATCCATTAAGTGCTTTTATAAATATGTATCCAACAGGCAGACCCTATAAGTATATATTATTGAATAATGATAGCTTTCCGTCGATCTCAGAAGGATCCTCTCCCTAGCTTTCCTTTTTTGTAGCGGTCTGTATATAACTAAAGTATTTCAAATTTTTCATCATATATCCTAAAATGGTATTTCCAATATTAGAGACATGACATGCGTTTCTTTTAACGTTTTTATCCAACAAAAGAAGTTTGTTTTTTATACCCTAAACCCATTCAAAGTGGGAATTGTGGGTGTAATGGTCGTTGAAGTTTATGTATATTCTTGGCGATGAGCTGTCCCTATGCTTGAACGCAGATATATGATAGCTACAGACTTTACATTTGTATACCCTGAACCCATTTTCAATGGGAAATCTGGGTAAAATGTTTTTTTTTTTTTTTTTTTAATGTATGTAACAGGCAGTTTATTATACCCTGAGTTCAATTCTGCTGCCCTATCCGCCTGTCTGTCTGTCTGTCCGTCCACCCGTCTCTCCGTATGCTTGAACGCGCCGATCTCAGAAGATAAAAGAGCTAGAGACTTCGAATTTACACATAGCATATCGAGTTTATCTCCAAAAATCGATAACTAGTTCCATTATTTTGTTATCGATTAAAACTTTATCGAAAATAGGTATTAAAATATATTTTCTATATCATTAAAGCCAGAGTCTCCAAATTTTAAATATATATTTAGATGATTATTATACAATTTCGTTATATTTTGGATGCCGGCTCCTAATTCACAAGAATTCCCAGTGAAGGTCAGATGCCGGTACAGTTAATAGTGGACGATTTTGCATTTATTAAAATATGTCACATATTCAATAGAATATGTAGATCATATGCTGAAAGTTTCGTTAAATTCCGTTAAGTCAATCGACGTTAATGAATTAACAATTATTATACTCGTAGTTCTCAGCAGTTAGTTTACTTTAGATTTGCTCTGCAGCAATGAACCCATTTCAGTTTTGCCATAACACTTTTGAAAAGTGAAGTGGCGTTTTTACTAAGAGTGGGGCGCTCGACCGAGGAGTCTCGGGTTCGACCCCACAGCGCGCAATGGATGTGTATTTTAATTGTTTCAAAATACATATATAATTTTCCCAATTGAAACTATTGAGAGCTCGTCATGTCATTTATTTGGTAAAACATATCGTCGCATTTCCGCAAAATGATCGTATGTAGAAAAATTTAATTTTACAGGATGTTAATGTTACTGTATGTTAGTATATGTACATATGTATGTGACAGTATGTGAGACAGAAGTTTTCTAACCGTTCTGCATTAAAATCTCAATTTTGCAAAAAATAAAGACACGATGACACGATGATGGGAATGTGACGATATGTATATATGTATGTATATACATATCTATGTACATATGCATGTACATATGTTGATTAACATGGAAGCTAACCGAAAAAGGATTGAGGGAAAGAGTGCGCTCATATATTACTACGTATATTAAGACAAAATATTCAGCCGAGCAAAAAATAATTGAAGGAGTGGGAGTGTGTGTGCGAGTTAATAAGTTAATAAGTTAATAATAAGTAGGGAAGCAGAAAGAGGTAGTGCGAGAGTTACGCATGTATATACGCATCAATCTGAGCAAATACGAAGTAGAAAATGCATGCAGGAATGCATACAGCGAGTGACTCGACGCCTTTACGATTTAACACCTTTTTCATTCCGTTTTAAGACATTTAATTTTATACCCTGAACCCATTGAAAATGAGAAATCAGGGTATAATGGTTTTGTTAAAAGTTTGTAACAGGCAGTGCAATGTCCGTCTTGCTGTCCGTCCGTCTGACCGTCTGTCCGTCCGTCCGTCTGTCCGTATGAACGCAATCCATTTCGGCGCTATTGAAGCTAGAGACTTGAAATTTTGAACACATACTCGTGTATATCTCCGATTTATAAAGTGTTAAAGATCACGAACTATGGCGGATATATCTCCACCCATTGGGGGCGTGGCAAATCGGATAAAACTGTATCTTCAAGAGTTTTACAGCTAGAGCGCTAAAATTTTGCACGTCAGCTAATGCTATGATTCTATAAAGTCTGAAGATAAAATTATAAGCCTACGCCCATTAGGGGCGTGGCAAACCGGAATTAGTAGTTAAGTTTCGCTCTAATACTGTAGAAAATGCAATTTTTCCTGATTAGTCACGCCTCTACTGGGCGTAGACCCCTCATGTTTGGTCAGCTTTTAGAACGAGATAACGGAACCCTAACTGCAAAGTTTGAATGCTTACCCTCAAAAAATGTGAAAATTACAGGGTATTTTTCGATATGACACGCCCCTAAAGAGGCGTAAAAATAGTTTTTAGGTCATCGATAAAGGAGGTTACTGGTAACTTAACTATTTAAATTTGAAGCTTCTAGCTATTATACTTAAGGAGGTATAAACTTTTGCGGTTTGCCACGCCCCCTGTGGGCGGACATATATCCGACAAAGCTTTTTGGTCTTGGGTGATCAGTCCGAGTATATATACAAATTTTTTCCAAAATATAGCAGAATTTAAAACATCACTATCTTCAGGTCCGATTTGCCACGCCTCTAAAGAGCGTAGACATACAATTTTTATACCCTGAACCCATTTTCAATGGGAAATCAGGGTATAATGGTTTTGTTGAAATGTATGTAACAGCGAGAAGGAGGCGTGGCAGACCCCACAAAGTATGTATATTCTTGATCAGGGCGACGAGCTGAGTCGATTTGGCCCTGTCCGTCTGTCTGTCTGTCCGTCTGTCCGTATGTTTGAACGCGTCGATTTCCGAAGATATGAGAGCTAGTGACTTGAATATACAGCGCGGATGTCGAGTTTGATTTTAAAATTCGATAAAACATCCCGTTATGTTTTTATCGAATAAAAACATTAAAGTTTAAGTCAGATGCCAGTATAGCTAATTGTGAATAATTTTTCATTTTGTTAATTCTCTCAAATATTCATAATTAAAAATCAAATATTTGGCCAATTAACATACGCACGTGCAGCAGCTACAACAGCATCGTATGCGTGTGCACACATACATTCAAACTTCTTCTGGATCATTCTTTGAATCAGATAAGCTGTTAGTTTGGTTTAGTTTTGGTAGATGGCGCTGCAGCAGTGAATTTATTCGATTTTTGCCAGCGAAGCTTTTAGAAGTGAGGTGGCGTAGTGTGTTAGCGGCATGACGCTCGATCGAGAAGTCGCAGTTCGAGTCCCGATCGGTGCAACTGATGATAATTTTTTTAATTACTTCAAAATATTTTTATATTTTCATAAATGAGTTTTCTATTTAATTTATATTTCTAAATACACCGGAATTGAAATTTTAACCATACTAAATGTGCGTATTTAAAAGTTTGGATATACTAGCAGATTCTTAGAATCACATCAGCAGTTAGTTTGATTTAGTTTTGCTAAATGGCGCTGCAGCAGTGAATCTATTTCAGTTTTGCCATCGCAGCTCTCGAAAGTGAGGTGATGAAGTGAGTAGCTGCGTGACACTTGATCGAAAGGTCGCGCGTTCGAATCCCGATCGGTGCAACTGATGTTGACTTTTTAATTGTTTCAAAATATTTTTATATTTTCATAAATGAGTTTTCTATTTAATTTATATTTTTCAATACACCGAAATTGAAATTTTAACCATACCAAATGTGCGTTTTTAAAAGTTTGGTTATTCTAGCAGATTCTTAGAATCACATAAGCAGTTAGTTTGGTTTAGTTTTGGTAGATGGCGCTGCAGTAGTGAATCTATTCAAGTTTTGCTAGCGAAGCTTTTAGAAGTGAGGTGGCGTAGTGTGTTAGCGGCATGACGCTCGATCGAGAAGTCGCGGTTCGAAACCCGATCGGTGCAACTGATGATCATTTTTTTAATTGCTTCAAAATATTTTTATATTTTCATAAATGAGATTTCTATTTAATTTATATTTTTAAATACATCGAAATTGAAATTTTAGCCATAGTAAATGGGCATAACATCGAAGAGGTTGCCAGCCTCCGTTACTCTAACATAACTTGTGTAGCCTTAAGCACCCACGTCACTGGTTTGTTTGATCCGCTAGAATGGTAATCTGACAAAACTATAGTAACGGCTAGAAAATGATATTCTAATCAGTCTGCAATTCTTTTCGACACGAATACATACACACGTACATATTAGAACGCGCTCTGCTTACTGCGCAGTAAGCAGCGACTGCGCGTGGGCTGCGCTGCGGTGTGGGCAACATTATAAGAATTTATTTGTTGAATAATTTCATTTCTAGACGTACAATCAATTGAAATACGCCTTTTACAAAGGTGTGGTTGAGGGGGTGGATATAGGGGTGGGGGGTAAATTACAACAAAAATCGAAATTATATAAAATATATATAAGTTTACATTTAAAATTTGGAAGCTCTAGCTCTAAAGGTGTAGGAGGTTATAATTAAATAACTAGCTTTCGATAAGGTTTTTAATCGATAACAAAATATCGGGATTATTTATCGATATATAAAGAAAAACTTGATATGCGCGTGATATACATGGACCTAGGAAAAAAATTTCAAGTCTCTAGCTCTTATATCTTCTGAGATCGACGCGTTCATACATACGGACGGACGGACGGACGGACAGACAGACGGACACGGCCAAATCGACTTAGCTCGTCGCCCTGATCAAGAATATATATACTTTGTGGGGTCTGCCACGCCTCCTTCTGCCTGTTACATACATTTAACAAAACCATTATACCCTGATTTCCCATTTTTAATGGGTTCAGGGTACAAAAAGAGCATAGATATGCATGTAAGTTATTTTATTTTGTAATGTGGAGGCTTTATTTAGCGATCCACAAAAGATGTATATCAGCTCGACTTTATTCTACTTAATAG